AGATAGATAGATAGATAGATAGATAGATAGATAGATAGATAGATAGAGATAGATAGATGATGTAGGTAGATGATTGATTGATAGATGATAGAGATAAATAGATTGATGATATATATATATATATATATATAGATGATAGATGATAAAAGATTGATAGATAATCAGATTTATAAGCAACCAATGTTCTCTTGTTTGTCACCTTCTCCTTCCAATTTGAATCTACAGCCACTTTTCCTCTTTTCTCCTCCTCTACCAACTTGGCTGGTTCTTCTCACCCAACCCCACCCAGATTTGTTTCCATGCAGTACTTTGGAGGAAGGACGTTTGCACCCCTGCCTCTCTACTCTCCCCACCCCCCACCCCCAGGTTCCCGACACTGGTTCACGCTTATTCCATGTGCCTTCCAGGTCTCCTCGCGTGTGAGGCCCTGCAAAAGGCCAGCCTTGTTGGCTGGGAACCATGGCGCCTCTCCACATCTGGTTCGAAGTGGAACCCTGGCGCCGGCCTAAAGCCACAGACTTCAGTCGAGAGAGGCGCGCAGACTTTAATAGACTCGTACAGTTTGCCGAGCCAGGGCTACGGCTGCGAAGGAAAAGGGTGGTTTTTTTTAAGGGAGATGGCAGCTCTGCACTCTCCTTTTAAAAAAAAGAAAGAAAGAAAGAAAGAAACAGAGGCGAAAAAGGGGTGCAGAACAAGGAAGAGGCAAGGAGCTGTGGGAAGATGCTGTCTGCAAGACAGGAGTGAGTACACAGCCTGCCACCCCTGGGCTTTTGGAGAGCAAAAGCTCTCAAGCCCAGACGTGTGGGGAACAGCAGACCCTAAAGAATAACAGAGTTGGAAGGGACCTTAGAGGCCTTCTAGTCCAGCCCCCTGTCAAGCAGAAGATCCTCTACCAATCCAGACAAATGGTGGTCTAACCTCTACTTGGAAATCTGCAGGGATGGAGCAACCAGGAGAGGAGAAACACTGCTTAGAACAGAGCACCATAGGGTTGGAAAGGACCTTAGAGAAAGGACCTTGGAGGTCATCTAACCCAACCCCCTGCTCAAGCAGGAACCCTGTAACCTTTCAGACAAATAGCTGTCCAATCGCTTCTTCAAAACCTCCAGTGATGGGGCACCCATAACTTCTGAAGGAAAGTTGTTCCACTGGTGAATTGTTTTCCCCGTTGGGAAATTTCTCCGTAGTTCTAGGACTCTCTGATAAGTCTCCACCTCTTATTTCTCAGCTGCTTCGGGGGTCTTCTCTGGGACAGCCCCTCAAGTCCTGGAAGACTGCTATCATGCCACAGCCCTAACCCTAGCTTGGGTCCACCGACGGTATCTGAGAAGGAGCGGTGAGCTGGATTCCAACCTGAGATGGTTGGGATATCCGTCAGACATCCCACCTTCTACAACCCGCCTTCCCAGACAATCCTCATTGTTCCTTTAACCAAAACCGGCTCCAAACCATCTAAGTGTTTAACGTCTTACAAATGTTTGGCATCTTTGTGGGTTTCCACAGCATCGCATCGAAATATTGTGGTAGGGTTGGGTGAGAACACCCAAGATATAGCCGAGGTTGCCAAAATGGGAAAAGTTTGATCAGACTCAAGTGATGTAAATGGGCGAGGGGAGGGAATTGGTCATTGCCCAAGAAGGTTGAAGGCTGTCGGGGAAGGTTTGCTAACCCTGGCTTTGGTTGACTTTTGCACTGTTTAGAAGAACCCAAGTTCTCCAGATGTTTCATGGGGGAAAACCACTAGCCAATTTGCATGATGGCGTTGTTTAATTAAAAGTTGACAAAAGTCAGGTTGCCCCTTAAGATTGCAGTCATCCAGCTGAATGCGAAGATTCGCCTTCCATAACATTAATCGGCATCTAAACTTCTTTGATACATGAAGCGAGCCATCAAAGGAGAATCCCACATAATCCACTAAAAGCCTTTTTTTTTTTTTTTTTTGCAGGTTTAGGTCACGGAATCTCATAGGTCAACCTATTTTCCAAAGCCACCCCAGGGCAAGACAAGAAGCAACGGATGGAAAAATTTTAAGACTGGAATTACAGAGAATTCTATTAATTCCACAATTAATCCGTGGAACGGCTTGCCTTCAGAAGCTGTTGGTGCTCCATCGCTGGCGGTTTTCAAGAAGCGATTAGACAACCTTTTGACCAGGATGGCATAAGGTCTCCCACCTTATGCAGGAGGTTGGACTAGAAAACCTCCAAGGTCCCTTCTAAACCATTTGATTCCATGTTCTAAAGACAGTTGGCGGGATTGCAATTATGGATCCTAGCTACTGCAATATTTCATGCACTAAACCATGGCTTGCTTCAAATGAGCGGCAACTGATGCATCCGTGCCGCGTTGAGTGTAAAATTGGAAACATTTTAGATCACAGGTGCAGAAAGATTCTAACTCAGTGTTTCTCTACCGTGGCAAGTTTTAGATGGGTAGGACCTTCCCGGCTGGGGAATTCTGGGAATTAAAAGTCCACACATCTTAAACTCACCAATGTCCCAAAATTCTGTTCTAATCCCTGCTTTGTGATGGTAACCCTTGCATCGTCTCCCCTGCCTTTATAAAACACGTTGATAAACTTACTTGACAATCTTTGGACAACCTGGGTTTCATAGTTTTAGCTGCCTCCCCCAATTTCTTTTGTCTCTCTCTCTTATCATTATTATTATTATTTTACTTTTGAGGTTCTCCTGCCAATAATATCATCACTATAAATGTAAACAGATGCTTACACAAAGGAATTACACATCTCAACCTGTATATTTCTTTCTTTGCCTATTTTTGCCTTGCTGGTGGGTCCTTCCAGGCTGGGGTGGAACCAAACAATTTTGGAAAATTTCAGAATTTCCACCCACACACACACACCCTTGTCCTTTGCCTTAGCTGTAATTTGCTGCAAACACAATCAATCCATTTTCTCCCTCCCCTCCCCTTGCCTTTAAGCTTTCAAATTGCTCCTGGCTTCTCATCACACAAAACCTGCCTTTAAAAAAGAAAAAAAAAAACTTAAAAGCAAAGGAATGAAGTCTGTTCAAAACAGAAACATGGTCCTACAAGAGATTCAAAATCACAAGGCTTCACCTTGGCTAGTTCCGATGGACTTTGAAGCAGAATTTCAGAATGGGAAGGGACCTTGGAGGTCTTCTAGACCAACCCCCAGCTCAAGCAGGAGACCCTACACCACCCTGATCCAAGGATTGTCCAGTCTCTTCTTGAAAGCCTCCAGGGTTGGAGCACCTAGAACTTCTAGTGGGGAGCTGTTCCGCTGATCGATTGTTCTTTCAGAAAATTTCTCCTTAGTTCTACGTTGCTTGTCTCTTTCGTTAGTTTCCATTCCTTGTTTCTTGTCTTGCCTTCTGGTGCTTTGGAAAATAGGTTGACCCCTCTCCCTTCCTCTTCTTCTTTATGGCAGCCCCTTAAATTTTGGAAGGCTGTCTCTCCTAGTCCTTCTTTTTATTAAACTAGACATGCCCAATTCTTCCTATTTTTTAGTGCCCTCTAATCATCTTAGTTGTTCTTCTCTGCACTCTTTCTGGAATCTCAACATCATTTTTATAATGTGGCGACCTAAACTGGATGCAGAATTCCAGGTGTGGCCTTACTGAAGCTTTATAAAGTGGTACTAACAGTTCAGGTGACCTCAATTCCATCTGTGAGTCAGAACTGCCATCTCACTGCCTGTCTGGCACCTTCTGTTCATGCAGCCTAGGATTGCATTGGCTTTTTATTTTTGGCTCCCCCTTTGATATCTGAACCGTTTCTCACTGCTCTGCCATAAACTGAGGACAAACTAGCTTATTGTTACAGAACTGGGCAATGTGGAACTGTGAAACTCCTCCAAATTTTCCAGGGGAAGAGAAAATCTCCAAATATTCCTCAAAAGTGGCCTTGCCTCCTGCCCTACCAGGGGCAAAAATGAGCATCTTCACAGGTAGTCCTCACTTTACGACTGCAACTGGGGCCAGAATTTACATCATTAAGGAAGGCAATTGTTATATGAATCATTCGTGATTTTATACCTGCTTTGGTCACCACTATATCAAAAAGATGTTGAGATTCTTGAAAGAGTGCAGAGAACAGCCACAAAGATGCTTCAGGTAGTCCTTGACTTATGACCACAATTGAGCCCAAAATTTATGTTGCTAAGCGAGACAGTTGTTAAGTGAGCTTTGCCCTCTTTTTATGACCTTTCGTGCCACAGTTGTTAAGTGAATCTGGTGACCCCGGGAAACACTGCAACTGTCATAAGTACATGCCAGTTGCCAAGCCTCTGAATTTTGATCATGTGACCCTGGGAAAGCTGCAACGGTGGCGTGAAAAACGGACAAACGTCACATTTTTCAGTGCTGTTGTGACTTTGAACGAACGAACTGTTATAAATTGAGGACAGTCTGGAGGCTAAACCACATGATAAACCACGAAGGGAACTGGGTGTGTCTAGTTGAATGAAGAGAAGAACTAGGGGTGGCATGGTAGCATCTTTGAGGGGCTATCAGAGAAGAGAGGATTGACCCCCAAAGCAACTGAAGGCAGGACAAGAAGTAATGGATGGAAAAAAAATCGTGTCTCCAGATGTTGTGGAAGACCTCTAAGCTCCCTTGCCCAACTCCGTTATTCTGTCACAAGAATTCTCATTAAATAACAGATAATCAGAGTTGGAAGGGATCTTGTGGGTCATCTAGTCCAACCCCTCGCCCAAGCGGCAGACCCTACACCATTTCTGACAAATGGCAGTCTAGTCTCTTCTTGAAAGTCTCAAGTGATGGCGCTCCCACAACTTCCGAGGACAAGTTATTCCATGAGTTGACTGTTCTCACTGTCAGAAAGTTTCTCCTTATTTCCAGGTTGAATCTCTCCTTGATCAGTTTCCATCCATTGTTCCTTGTCTGGCCTTCGGGTGCTTTGGAGAACAGCTTGGCCCCTTCCTCCTCTCTGTGGCAGCCCCTCAAATATTGGAAGGCTGCTATCGTGTCTCCCCTGGTCCTTCTCTTCACTAGACTAGCCAAGCCCAGTTCCTGTAACCAATTCCTCATTACATTCAAGGGAATGTTTTGTCTGGTTGAAAAACAATAGAAATCCTTGTTGACCTTAATGCTCCTTGTTCGGTAGCATCAGCTGAATCCGATGGAAGCAACGTCAGAGAAATTTCAAAGCCAAACTGGGCTTAGTGAACTTCCTGTGTTTAAAGCCCCCAGTCTAGTTGACAGAAACACTGTTTGGATTTACAAGGGCTCCCCTTGTTTAAAAAAAAAAAAAATGGCAAAAATATCTCCTTTTCTCTCCCCGGGAGTTAGCATCACTACACCTCCCAACGTTCCGGGTGGAATTTAAGAGCCTAAGGCCTAAACCAACTTCTCTTACAACCCAACACATGGTTCCAGTTAGCGGCAAAGGAGGAAGGCAAAGCCGGGCTGGAAAGGAAGGGAAGCGAGAGACACATTTTAAAAGGAGAACTAAAGAAAACAAGCCAAAGGGGGGGAGAGAGAGAGAGAAAGCAAAGAGGAGGGTGGGATTGTTGAGATGAAAATTTAAAATGGTAGCAATCAGATGGCACGTGTCAGGGAGGGGTGGATCAAAATCAAGATTAATTAATGTGGGTGGAGGGAGGTGAAAACACCACATTGTTCTCAGGTTTTGTTTGGTTTTGTTTTTTTCATTCTAATTTTGCCCTTTTTAAAAAAAAAAAAAAAAGGAGACCGTACAGCTTTCCTTCACCGGAATGACGGCACGGTTTTGCTGAAAAGGCAAATGCCGGTTTTCCACCAAGCCGGTCTTAAACTATGACGACGAGATGATGCATGTAGTCAAAACATTGGAAGGAGACGGCCACCGTTGGAATTTCAGACCTGGATATCTAAGTCCCCTTATTCCAGTCCATTTTGCCCCGCCACATCCAGTCGTAAGTCGAGGATTCCCTCTAAATGTCTTGCGTGGGGGCACTTCTTGGAGTTGGGCCCAGACGGTAGGATTGTGAGCGTGGCTTCAAAAAGAAGGACCTCCCTCCTTCCACACCTCTGATGAAGCTTTACAACATTGATTGACCACCACGTCCAGTTTGTGTTGGGTCCCCAGGTGCAAACCGGATCTCCTCTCGGTTTGCCAGGAGGAAATACCGAAAGAGCCGAATCTGAGGTCTCGCCTGTGAAAGACCATCCTGGTTTCTCGAAGGAACAAATGTTGTTTTTCTCAAGCTGGAGAGATCATGGAGGTTATGTTTATTCTGGAACCTGACATGGGCATGGGACGGTTCTTCAAGACAGAAGGGCCCTGCCTCCAACTTATACAAATAAACCCGGAATTTTTTTGTGGTTGGACAGCTAAAAATCCTCAAAACTTATCCGGGCATTCTTTCGAGAAAGGAACTGCTCAAGTTTCTTCGGTTAATCTGAATCCTCTGAGCATCATTTCTCCAGAAGGACTTTCCTGCCCCCCCTCCCCCCTCAATCTTTACATTGTAAAAAGATGATAGATTAAAAACTAGGTAGTGGATTAAAACTTGGATCCTGGAGAATTTAATAAGAGCAGAAATAACCTAGAAATAAGGAGAAATTTTCTGACACTGAGAACAATCAACCGATGGAACAGAAGTTGCCTTTGGAAGTTGTAGGAGCTTCATCCCTGGAAGCTTTCAAGAAGAGACTGGACTGCTATCTGTCAGAAATGGTGTAGGGTCTCCTGCTTGGGTGGAGGGTTGGACTAGATGACCTACAAGCTCCCTTCCAACTCTATTCTGATTGATTCAACCTGGAAATAAGGAAAAATTTTCTGACAGGGAGAACAATCCACCGATGGAACAGAAGTTGCCTTCAGAAGTTGTGGGAGCTTCATCCCTGGAAGTTTTCAAGAAGAGACTGGACTGCCATCTGTCAGAAATGGTGTAGGCCAGGGTCTCTTGCTTGGGCAGGGAAGGGGGGTTGGACTAGATGACCTACAAGCTCCTTTCCAACTCTGTTATTCTGCTCTGTTCAGAAGACAACCAGCTTTGTTGCCCTTCATCTTATGAGGCGTTAGCAAGACAGAAAACAGAAAAAAGTTGACTTAAAAATGAGTTGGACCTTCCTAATATATTCCTAAGACAATGCCATAGAATCATAGACCTGGAAGAGACAAA